CTTTACACCTAGCTGGGACAGATATTGAAGACCAGCAAGATTGGTCCTGATTTCATCAGCTGTAGTTTATCAACATTAAGGTAAGTAATATGGAATGGAGATTTTTTTTTAATGATTCCTAAATGCCCTGTTATGGGGATTAAAGCATTCTAAAATGAACTTCTTGCATCATCTAGTTGGTTGAGATAACTCATGGTTTGTTTCAGTTCCAGTCTGTAACATATCACACTGATATACAAATCTCTAAAAGACACCCTTCCGCATTTTTATCCCAAACCATTTCTTTGCTTCAATATTCCTATCCCTTCACTACAGGCTCCCTGGTTAGCTTCCTCTACTACTTCCCACAATTAGGTTTGAAGTGGAATTCAAATGAAACACCAGATTACATTTGCTAGACCAATACTTGAATACAGTTCATCAGTCTGGAACCCACATTACATATCTGATATTAGCACAATTGAGAAAGTCCAGAAATATTTCACAAGAAGAGTTCTCCACTCCTTTACTCGTTGTAGAATACCTTATGCCACCAGACTTGAAATTCTAGAACTAGAAAACCTTGAATTACACCGTCTTCGGTCTGATTTAAGCATGGTATATAAAATCATACATTGCAATGTCCTACCTGTCAATGAATACTTCAGCTTCAACCATAACAACACAAGAGCACACAATAGATACAAACTCAATGTTAACCGCACCAAACTTGATTGCAGGAAATATGACTTCAGCAATAGAGTGGTCAATGTCTGGAATACTCTACCCGACTCTGTAGTTTCTTCCCCAAACCCCAAAAACTTTAACCTTAGACTGTCTACTATTGACCTCACCCCTTTCCTAAGAGGTCTGTAAGGGCGTGCATAAGCGCACCAACGTGCCTACCGTCCCTGTCCTATTGTTTCTCTTATTCTTCTTTTATTTTTCTTATATGTACCCATTTCATGTATTCACAACTATGTATACACTTATACTTATTATCTTGTAAACAATTGGCAAATCAAATAAATAAATAAATAAAAATAAATTAAAAACACTGTTTGAAAAACTCCAAAAAGAGGGTGGAAGAACTGTGTCCCTCTAATGTAGGGAGCCATTCAAGAGTGAAATCAGCTAGGAAATACCCACAGGCGATCCTGAACAGTTAAACCAGAGGGAAGAAAAATGTGAGGTGGCGCACCTGTGGAACAAACCAGTGTCAACACAATCATAAAAGCTGCAGTAATACAGCAGAACTGTATTAATTCTGAACTAGAAGCCCTCACGTTTTACTTTTAGACTTGCAAGGTGGATCCAAGTGCAACATTACCTATGTGAAACCATCCAAAGTCTTCCACAGCTTCTCTGAATATATCTCAAGATGTGTCTTTTCATTCTCAGACCCGTGAATCAGGGCAAGAACACCGGCATAGACAGTGTCTGCTGCTACCGTAAAAATGCCACCGCTCCACCTTTTGATCGAGTGAACATATATCATAAATTCATAAATGAGACCAATGGTTTCACCAAGCTGGAGAGGTACAACCTGGACCCAAACAGCCTTTTTGTAAATGGTAAGAAGAAGATGGCTTTCATGACTAAAGAGCTTATGAGGTTGGCTGGCACTGAATCGGTTCTTACCAATGATATGTAACTTAAGCAATAATTCCTGTCTGTGTCAGCAAGGAGATGCAATTGGGCTGCAAGACTTTCTTTAGCTCTACCAAATTTGGGCTTCAAAAATCTACATGACCATAACAGGGCAGCAGTGTTTATTAACACCCCATGGTCATTTGTTGTTTTGCTGTCCAGAATGCTGGCTCTGTTCTTCTGGATGATTTTCCCTGACACTGTCCCAGGACTTTCTTAAAAGCAGTCATTGGACTAAATGGACACTTTATATAGAGTTAGTTCACAGTGGCCTACTTAAATAATTTGCAACCCTACTTTTTGACATGGAGCAGTTGGAAGTATGTAGGAGGAATTTATCATATCTGATTTTTCTCATGGTGAAGAGCTTGAGAGAGTCTTCCCATTTTAGTGTGGTCTTGGGCCTTCTTTGGTGACTCCATTTTTGCAATTTTATTTCCATTTCAGATTATCATGAAGAATCACCTCAGACCAGTAAGTACACTTTACATTATTGAAAAGTTCTACCATACTCCTGCTCAGGTCTCTGTTCTCCAGGCTTAACCCATCAATTTTCTATTGCACAATTAGATTTCCAACCCCTGCTTGCCGTTCTTGCCCTTTTCTGGACCCACAATAGATCAAGAATAACAGTTAACTTCTAACTGTGGAAAGCATATTCTTGTTCTTCAACTTTGGTAATGCACCACTGAACTCCGTGTTCATGACAGGAACTGCAAGATACTAAACAGTGGTTGACGGATAGATTATATACCATCAATTCTGGTTTCCATATCTGAGATCCATTATTTCTCTTCCAGCTGTTTCTCCCACTTCCAAACCTCCAGTGGCAACTGAATGCTTTATACTCAACTTCACTACAAACAATTTGATCTATAGGCCACAGATGAGTAATCCCAAGTCAAAGTTGTTCAGTTCAGCACAAGCAATCTACGCTAAATTGGTGAGGAAACAAATGCATGCTTACCCCAGCTGCTCTTCCACATAAGATTTTCATAAAATAATCAGCAGTAGTATTTTACTACCAGCAATAAATACATCATTTTTCCTTTAAACCTAGCTGGGACAGATATTGAAGACCAGCAAGATTGGTCCTGATTTCATCAACTGTAGTTTATCAAAATTAAGGTAAGTAATATAGGATGGAGATTTTTTATTTCGTGACACAAATATCCTGTTATGGGGATGAAACGATTCTGATATGGACTTCTCGCAACATCTAGTCAAATTTGAGAGAACCCATAATCTGTTTCAGTTCCAGTCTATAACATATCACATTGAAATAGAAATCTCTAAAAGTCTCTTCGTGCATTTTTATCCCAAATCATTTCTTTGCTTCAATATTGAGTTCCAATCACTGTACTGGAAGCTCCCTGGTTAGCTTCCTTATGGCTTCCCAAAATTAGGTTTGAAGTGGAATTTAAAATTTAATAACAGCAGATTAAAAATACTGTCTGAAAAACTCCAAAAAGAGGGTGATTGAACTATGTCTCTCCAATGTAGGGAGCCATTCAACAATGAAATCAGTTAGGAAATACCCAGAGAGGATCCTAAATAGTCAAATGGGGAAGAAAAATGTGAGGTGGCACACTCGTAGAACAAACCAGTGTCAACAAAATGGTCAAGGTTGCAATAATTCAGCAGATCTGTATAAATTCTGAACTGGAAGCTCTCACCTTTTACTTTTAGGCCTGCAAGGGAGATCCAACTGCAACATTACCTATGTGAAACCATCCAAAGTCTTCCACAGCTTCTCTGAATATATCTCAAGATGTGTCTTTTCATTCCCAGATCTGTGAATCAGGGCAAGAACACCGGAATAGACAGTGTCTGCTGTTACCATAAAAAAGCCACAGCTCCAACTTTTGATCGAGTGAACATATATCATAAATTCATAAACGAGACCAATGGTTTTACCAAGATGGAGAGGTACAGCTTGGACCCAAACAGCCTTTTTGTTAATGGTAAGAAGATGGCTTCATAACTAAAGTGGTTATGAGGTTGGCCGGAACTGAATTGGTTCTGACCAATGTTATGTAACTTAATTGATAGTTCCTGATTACAACCCCTTGGAGAGATTTCAGAGGGTTACAAGCCTTTCTTTGGCTCTACCAAATTCAGGCTACAAAAATCTAGATGACTGTAACAGGGCAGCAGTGTTTATTAACACCTCATGGTCATTTGGAATTTTGCAGTCCAGACATACTGGCTCTGTTCTTCTGGTTGATTTTTCCCTAACACTGACCCAGGACCTTCCTATAGGCAATCATTGGGCTAGGTGGACACTTTAGTTTACAGTGGCCTACTTAAACAAGCACTGCTTGTATTTGGGAACCTTCAGTATAATTCACAATCCTACTATTTGAGATTCATTGACATGGAATGGTTGGAAGTATGTAGGAGATATTTATTGTATCTTCTTTTTCTTATGGTGGGAAGTTGGAGAGCGACTTCCCATATTAGTGTCTTTTTGTGCCTTCTTTTGTGACTTTCTTTCCATTTCTGAAACTTTCCATTTCAGATTATCATGAAGCAGCACTTCAGACCAGTAAGTACACTTTACAGAAGTTTCTTGAGCCGTGGACCCCAACTGTGGTATCTAATCTAAAATGTCCAACCTTGTCCCATATGTACCAATTGCATAGCAAGTAAAGCGGTATGCCCTAGAGCAGGGGTGGGCAAACTTTTTGGCTCGGGGGCCTCATTGACTTTTAAAATTTGACAGACGGGCCGCCACCTGGTGTCGAAATGCCTGTCATTACAAGTCAAAATCAAATGAATGCAATCATTCAATCATTCACATCAAACCTTAATTCTGTACCAATCTTCGGCGGGCCGGATTAAAAAGACCAACGGGCCGGATGTGGCCCGCGGGCCGTAGTTTGCCCACCCCTGCCCTAGAGGCTTTTACCACAAGCCATGAGTGGAAACATAGGGATGTAGGAGCAGGTTGCAGATTAGAAGATTTTTCAGAGAGTAAAAGGTTTCAATCAGCGCACAATCTCACTTCCCAAAAAGGTGTGTTCACTAGAGATCTTCAGACAGAGTGGATACTGATTTCTGAGATTCCATCTCTGATTATGACCAATAGGATTTTTTTCTGTAACATTGAACAAGAATCTGGTTTGTGAATTTATTGTGCATCCTGGGAATTTACAGAACAGGCCACAGCCTTTGTATAGTACCCCTTTACATTATTGAAATATTCCACCATAATCCTGCTCAGGCTTCTTCCTGGGCTTAACCCATCAAGTTTCTATTGCACAACTTGGTTTCTAGCCTCTGCTCATCCTTCTTGCCCTTTTCTCGACCCACAATAGATGAAGAATAACAGTTAACTTCAAACTGTGAAAAGCATATACTTGTTCTTAAACATGTGTAAAGCATCACTGAACTCTGTGTTCATGACAGGAACTGCAAGATACTAAATAGTGGTTGACGGATAGATTATATACTATCAATTCTGGTTTCCATATCTGAGATCCATTATTTCTCTTCCAGCTGTTTCTCCCACTTCCAAACCTCCAGTGGCAACTGAATGCTTTACACTCAACTTCATTACAAATAATTTGATCTACAGGCCACAGATGGGCAACCCCAAGTCAAAGCTGTTCAGTTCAGCAGAAGGAATCTTCTGTAAATTGGTGAGGAAACAAATGCATGCTTACCCCAGCTGCTCTTTCACATAAGATTTTTATAAAATAGTCAGCAACGGTATTTTACTACCAGCAATAAATACACCATTTTCCTTTAAACCTAGCTGGGACAGATATTGAAGACCAGCAACATTGGACCTGATTTGATCAACTGTAGTTTATCAACACTAAGGTAAGTAACATGGGATGGAGACTTTTTTCATGATACCTGAATGCCCCATTATGGGGATGGCCTCTTGCAACATCTAGTCATATTTGAGCAAACCCATAATTTGTTTCAGTTCCAGTCTGTAACATATCACCTTGTTATACAAATCTCTAAAAGATTCCTTCATGCATTTTTATCCCAAATCATTTGTTTGCTTCAATATTCAGTTCCCATCAGTGTACTGGAGGCTCCCTGGTTAGCTTCCTCCATGTCTCCCCAAAATTAGGTTTGAAGTGGAATTTCAAAATTTAATAACACCAAATTAAAAATACTGACTGAAAAACTCCAAAAAGAAGGTGATAGAACTGTGCCCCCGTAATGCAGAGAGCCATTCAAGAATGAAATCAGCTAGGAAATACCTTAGATGGGATCTTGAATAGTCAAATAAGGGGGATGAAAAATGTGAGGTGGCACACTCATGGAACAAACCAGTGTCAACAAAATGATAAAGTTTTCAATAATTTAGCAGATCTGTATTAAGTCTGATCTGGGAGACATCACCTTTTACATTTGAATCTTCCAAGTAGATCCAAGTGTGACCTTACCTCTGTGAGATAGCAATAGCATTTAGACTTATATACTGCTTCTTAGTGCTTTATAGCCCTCGCAAAGCAGTTTTACAGAGCCAGCATATTGCCCCCAACAATCTGGGTCCTCATTTTACCCACCTTGTAAGGATGGAAGGCTGAGTCAATCTTGAGCCTGGTGAGATTTGAACTGCCAAATTGCAGGCATCCGGCAAGCACTGCATTCTAACTACTGTCCTCTATAGCTTCTCTGAATATATCTTAAGTTGTGTGTTTTCATTCTCAGACCTGTGAATCAGGGCAAGAACACTGGAGTAGACAGTGTCTGCTGCTACCGTAAAAATACCACATCTCCACCTTTTGATCGAGTGAATATATATCACATATTCATAAATAAGACCAATGGTTTCACCAAGCTGGAGAGATACAACTTGGACCCAAACAGCCTTTTTGTTAATGGTAAGAAGAAAATGGCTTTCATGTTGAAGAGGTTGTGAGGTTGGCCTAGAACTGAACTGGATCTGACCAATGTTATGTAACTTAAGTGATAGTTCCTCTCTGTGACACCTTGGAGAGATGCCAGAGTGCTTAAGACTTTCTTTAGGTCTACCAACTTCAGCGTACAAAAATCTAATGACTACTACACGGCAACAGTATTTATTAACACCTCATGGTCATCTGGAGTTTTGCATTCCAGACGTGCTGGCTCTGTTGTTCTTGATGACTTTTTCTGACTGTGTCCCAGGACATTCTACAAGCAATCATTGGAATAGGTGGATACTTTTATATAGAGTTAGCTCACAGTGGCCTATTTAAACTAAAGACTGCTGCTATTTGGGGACCTTCAGGATAATTCAAAACCCCACTATCTGAGATTTCTTGACATGGAGTAGTTGGAAGTATGTGGGAAGAATTTATCGTACTTTATTTTTCTCATGGTGAAGAGCTTGAGAGCGACTTCCTAAATCATTGTATGCTTGTGCCTTCTTTTGTGATTCTCTTTCAATTGCTACAACTCTCTTTTCATTTCAGATTATCATGAAGCATCACCTCAGACCAGTAAGTACACCTTTACAGAAGTTTCTTGAGCCATAAATTCCAACTGTGCTACACAATCTAAAACCTCCAACATTGTCCCACATGTACCAATTTCAGAATAAGTGAAGTAGTATGCCCTAGAGGCTTTTGCCACAAATGATCTGTGGAAACCATAGGGATATAGAAGTAAGTGAAATATTGAGAAGATTTTCCAGACAGTAAAAGGTGTCAACTAGTGGACCATGTCAATTCCCAAAGTGGTGTATTCCACAGAGATTTTCAAAAAAAGAGTCAGTACTGACTTCTATATTCCAACTTAAAACCATGACCGTTGGGAGTTGTTCTATAACATCGAACCAAGGATGTGGCTTGTTCATCTTGAGAATTTATAGAACAGGCCATGTCCTTTTGTATAGTACCCCTTTACATTCTTGAAAAGTGCTACAATAGTTTTGCTCAGGCCTATGTTCTCCAGGATTAACCTATCAATCTTTCTTTTGCACTACCTGATTACCAGCCTCCTCTTATCCTTCTTGCCCTTTTCTGGACCCCAATAGATCAAGAATAACTGTTATTTTCAAACTGTGAAAAGCATATGCTTGTTCTTAAACATCTGTAAAGCACCACTGAACTGTGATTGATGGACAGATTATATCCCATCAATTCTGGTTTCCATATCTGAGATCCATTATTTATCTTCCAGCTGTTTCTCCCACTTCCAAACCTCCAGTGGCAACTGAATGCTTTACACTCAACTTCACTACAAACAATTTGATCTATAGGCCACAGATGAGTAATCCCAAGTCAAAGTTGTTCAGTTCAGCACAAGCAATCTACGCTAAATTGGTGAGGAAACAAATGCATGCTTACCCCAGCTGCTCTTGCATATAAGATTTTCATAAAATAATCAGAATTAGTATTTTACTACCAGCAATAAATACATAGTTTTTCCTTTAAACCTAGCTGGGACAAATATTGAGCACCAGCAAGATTGGTCCTGATTTGATCAACTGTACTTTATCAACAGTAAGGTAAATATTATGAGATGGAGATTCTTTTTCCCGTGATACCTAAGTGCCCTGATATAGGGATGACTCTTGCAACATTTAATCATATTTGAGCGAACCCATAGTTTGTTTCAGTTCCAGTCTGTAATGGAGCACATTGTATACAAATCTGTAAAAGACTCCCTTCCGCATTTTCATCCCAAACCATTTCTTTGCTCAAAATTTAGTTCCTATTACTTAGCTAGAGGCTTCATGGTTAGTTTCCTCCAATTGTTCCAAAAGTGAAACCCCAGATTAAAAATACTGATTGAAAAACTCCAAAAAGAGGGTGATTGAACTGTGTCCCTCTAATGTAGGGAGCCATTCAACAATGAAATCAGCTAGGAAATACCCAGAGAGGATCCTAAATAGCCAAACAGGGGGAAGAAAAATGTGAGGTGGCACACTCGTAGAACAAACTAATGTCAACAAAATGGTCAAGGTTGCAATAATTCAGCAGATCTGTATAAATTCTGAACTGGAAGCCCTCACCTTTTACTTTTAGGCCTGCCAGGTAGATCCAAGTGCAACATTACCTATGTGAAACCATCCAAGTCTTCCACAGCTTCTCTGAATATATCTCAAGATGTGTCTTTTCATTCTCAGACCCGTGAATCAGGGCAAGAACACCGGCATAGACAGTGTCTGCTGCTACCGTAAAAATGCCACAGCTCCACCTTTTGATCGAGTGAACATATATCACAAATTCATAAATGAGACCAATGGTTTCACCAAGATGGGGAGGTACAGCTTGGACCCAAACAGCCTTTTTGTTAATGGTAAGAAGAAGATGGTTTTCCTGAATGAAGAGGTTATGAGGTTGGCTGGCACTGGATCAGTTCTGACTAATGTTACATAAGTTAAGGGCAGGGGTGGGATTCAAATTTTTTAACAGCCAGTTCTGTGGGTGTGGTTTAGTTGGTGGGCGTGGCCACCTCAATATTGCTCACATCGAGGCACACATCTCCTCGCCGGCCTCTCATGACTGTTGCAGCATCCCCACAGTCATGTGTGAAAAATGGTCATAAGTCACTTTTTTCAGTGCCATTGTAACCTTGAATGGTCACTCCGCACAAGCAAAGTACCAGCAAAGGAGAGGAAAAAAAACTCCAGAGAAGTTCCTGAGGCAGGAAGTCTAGTTCTGCCAAGAATGTAATAAGGGTTAACAGAGAGGCAGTTTCTGTAAGCAACACCAGAATGTTTCCTTCCTGCCTTCCTTACAGGATTAGGCCAGTAATTTCTTCTAACAACCGGTTCTCTGAACTGCTTAGAATGTTAACAACCGGTTCTAGCGAATAGGTCCGAACTGGTAGAATCCCACCCCTGGTTAAGGGTAGTTCTTCTCTATGACCCCCATGGAGAGATGTCAGAGGGCTACAAGACTTTCTTCAGCTATATCAAATTTGCACTACTAAAATCTAAATGACCACTACATGGAAGCAACACCTCATGGTCATTTGGAGTTTTGCTATCCAGGCCTGATGATTTTTCTCTGATGCTGTCCCAGGACCTTCTTATAAACAACCACTAGGTGGACACTTTATATAGAGTTACTTCATGATTATTTTAAAACCCAACTATCTGAGATTTGTTGACATGGAATAATTGCAAGTGTATAGGAGGAATTTATTGTATGCTATTTTTCTCATGGTGGACAGCTTGAGAGAGGCTTTCCATTTTAGTGTACTCTTGTGCCTTCTTTGGTGACTCTTTCCATTTCTGAAACTCTCTTTCCATTTCAGATTATCATGAAGCATCACCTCAGACCAGTAAGTACACTTTTCAGAAGTTTCTTGAGCCATGGACTTGAACTGTGATACACAATCTAAAATGTCGAACCTTGTCCAAAATATACCGATTGCAGACCAAGTAAAGCAATATGCTGTAGAGGCTTTTGCCACAAGTGATGGGTGGAAACCACAGGGATATAGGAGCAGGTTGAATATTAGATTTTCCAGACAGTAAAAGGTGTTAACCAGTGTACCATGTCAGTCCCCAAAGTGGTGTATTCTGTAAAGATCTTTAAACAAAGAATGGATACTGATTTCTGATATTCCAACTCTGATTATGACCATTAGGAACTGTTCTGTAATACTGAACAAGAAACTGCCTTGTGAATTTATATCGCTTGTTGGGACTTTACAGGAAATGCCCTTCTGCAAAATACCTCTTTACATTCTTGAAAAGGGCTACCACAGTCCTGCGCAGTCTTCTGTTCTCAAGGCTTAAACCATCAATCTTTCTTTTCCACAACTTGGTTTTCACCCCCTGCTCGTGCTTCTTGTTCTTTTCTGGATCCACAGCAGATCGAGAATAACAGTTACTTTCAAACTGTGAAAAGCATATGCCCGTTCTTAAATTTTTGTTATGCACCACTGAGTTCATGACAGGAAGTGCAAAATACAAAACAGTGATTGATTATATGCCATCAACTCTGGTTTCCATATCTGAGATTCACTGTGTCTCTTCTAGCTCTTCCTCCTACCTCCAAACCTCCAGTGGCAACTGAATGCTTTACAGTCAACTTCACTGCAACCAATTTGATCTATAGGCCACAGATGGCTGATCCCACATCAAGGGTTTTCAGCTCAACACAACGATCCTTCGTTAATTTGGTAAGAAGATCAATGCATACTTAGTTCAATAGCTCTTCCACATAAGACTTTCATAATATAGTCAGCAATAGTGTTTTACTATTGGCAATAATTACACAGTTTTTTCTTTATACCTAGCTAAGAGATATATTGAAAAACAGTGACATTGGACCTGATTTGATCAACTGTAGTTTATCAACATTAAGGTAAGCAATATGGGTTGGAAATTTTTTAGTGATCCGTAAATGCCTTAGAATGGGAATTAATGGATTCTAATATCTCTGTGAGAGATCTATATCTCTCACAACATCTTATAACATTTGAGGGAGCCCATGGTTTATTTCAGTTTCATTTTTCAACATGTCACTATTATCCCCATTTTAATTTCTAAAAAAGTTGATCTCTCATTTTCATCCCAAATACTGTAATTTCTTTGCTTCAATATTTGTTTGAAATGAGCTTGAAAATAAACATGGGCAAACTAAATATTCAAACTGGCAGGAAGAAATGTCAGGGTAGTGATTTAAGAGCTGACTAAGTTGCTGCAATATGCACTGATGCAGATGCAATGATGTAATAATGGGAATGAGTCAGCAAGGCTTTTGGCTGTTGTCCCTTTAAAAGCCTGAAAATAATAAGAGGCCTTTTAGGGTGTCTCTCTCTCACACTGTGTGTTCTTCTCTGCTGCAATTGCTGCAGTGTCAAGATAAGAATCAAGGATATAGGTCCTGAAATACAACAGAGCTGATATTGAAGTCCTTTTATACTTCAGATTGCCGGGTAGATGCAAGATCTGTACAGCTGTCGTGAATATATTTTTATTTGTATCTTTTGCTTCTCAGATCTGTAAATCAGAAGAGGTACACTGAAGTAGACAGTGTGTGCTGCTATCGTAAAGCTGCTACAGCCCCCACTTTCGATCCAATCAATATATATCAGAAATTCGTAGATGAAACCAACCATTTCACCAAGATGGGACGGTACAATCTGGATCCAAACAGCCTTTTTGTTAATGGTAAGAAGCATAATTTTGCTTTTGTGACTAAAAATGTTTGAGGCTGTCCAGCACTGAATTACTTCTGACCAACATTATCTAACTTAAATGGTGCTGTGTCTCAATGATAGCAACAAGAGATGCTAGTGGGCTACAATTTTTTTAATATGTCTATTGGGTTTGGATTACAAAAATCTGGGTGATTACTAGATGGCAGCAATGCTTATTGACACCTCATGGTCATTTGGAATTTTGTAGTCCAGAGCTGGTAACTCTGTTCTAAATTTACTATTCTCCGGTTGATGCCCCAGGATCTTCTACGAGCAAACATTGGGCTAGATGGACACTTTACATTGAGTTATTGTTATTGTATTAGAGAGCAAATAATTTCTACCCAAAGAGGATTATCACATCACATAAATTTTATACAAAATTCCTTAGAACATTGAAATTGCTGGTGTACTTTATAGAAATAGTCATACTCTTGAAATACCCTTTCATGTTTAGGATAGACCTGGCCTAATGTGTCAAGCAATTAAAAATGGATGCATGGTGTGTACTTTCAAACTTTTCTTAACAAATGATAATTTTATCACATAGGAAAAAGTTGATGGTTTTGAAGAAAGAATGGATGAAAGATTTGTAAAATTAAGAGAGCAAATAAAAGAAGATGTTGCTAAGTGAATGTAGACTTTAGAACTCATGTCAGATGGGCTATTCTTATAATGTGGAATAAATATAAATATAGATTCTGCCTGAAAACACCTTTTTGGCTTCGGTGCAAGAAGCATTTTATAGAAGACAAATGATAAGTGTTTCATTTTTTGCTATGTACTAAAATTTTCACAAGGAGATTATAAAATGATATCAAGAGAAGTTTTGAGAACAAAATACTCTTGTCAATGTCTTTCTTATGTACACTTAACAGAAAGTTTTGGTGGATAATTTTTTAAATGGTTTTCAACAATATGAGACTGACTTTGAAATATAATTATGTATTAATGATGAACATGTTATTGCTAAGATGTACAAACCTCTGATGAAATATCAAAAAAAGAACACATGAAGATGTATGATAAAATGGGATAAAAATTTTGGCTACAATGTATAAATGGATCAATGGGAAAATATGCGGCTAACAGGCTGAAATTTAGATTAGGTTGTAATCTCAAAGAGAATTTTTATAAAATGATGTACATTGCTATCTGTCAGCAGAGAAACGGTTTAGAATGTATAAAGGCACTTTGAATATTTGCTGGAAATGTGAACAATGTAAAGGGACATATTTAATCACATTTTGGTGGACATGTAAAAAAGTAAAATAAGCTGGATGCAAATACATACTATTCATTAAGAAGATTGTAAAAGTTAAAACTGAAACCAGAGACTTTCCTTTTGGGACCAATGGATAGGCAACTAGAAAAAAGCTACGGAACTTTGTTTTATGTATGATAACTGCAGCAAGATTATTATATGCTTAAAAGTGGAACAATTCTGCACTAGCCACAATAAAGGCAAAGATGATGAAGATGATGAAACGAATGAAGATGGCTATATTAACTTCTTTGATCAGAAAAACCCCAATATCTACATTTATGGCTGACTGGAAATTCCTTCTAGACTTTTTGCATTCAACTGAAAAAATGCATTTATGATTTGTGGTTTTGATTAGAAAAAAAATGATAATAAAAAGTAATATAGTAATATATGTATATTCTTTTTTGTAATATAGTGTAAGACACAATTTTGTAATTGTACTATATTTGCTGCCAAGAAAATTGGAAACTTTTCTTTTTCACACCTGCTTTTGTCTTTCTTTGCTTTTTTACTCTTTATTAGCTTTTTGGTTCTTAATAAAATTCTTATCAAAAAATAACTTTATTAGGGTTGAAGAATCACTAAATTTGTTTAAACATATTGTTATGAAGGTTGGAAATCACTCCTTCATACATTTATTTTCTCTTTCTTTATTATATTCTTACTTTTCTTTTTTTTTTGTTTTCCAAGCACTTTTTTCTTTTCTGAATACTCTTTTTATTAAATTTACTTTGTATTAGATTTTACTGTTATAACCAACATTCTTAATAAAAATTAAATCAAGGAAGCAGCCATGACACTAACTGCTTTGAATTTGCTTGATATAAAGTGGGAAAAGAAAGTAAAAGAAAAAAAGTAGCAGATCGCTTCTTGTTTCCTTCTAGGATATTCACCATCTACAACTGATTCAGCTCCAGATCTAGTAGGCTATGAGCTTGGTTTCAAAATTATCAACAAGAACTTGACCAATACAAATCCGTTATCACCAGAATATAAGCAATTGATGGGTTCCATCAGTAATGAGGTGAGGATTTTCACTTAGAAGTCCTCTACTGCAAACCCTGAATGAAAACATGATAGGGAACTACAGTAAGATAATGCCATTGCAAGTCTCCCTCACATTCTTTCATTCCCCCTTTTTGTAGAATGTTTTTGAATTAATATTCCTATTTTATATCCATTCCTTCCACAAACTGGCATACCTATAACTTTATAATAACAATAGTCCAGGAAGAGAATGTCCATTAAATCTGAACATCCATTAAATTCAAACATATCACTTTATCAAGCTGCCTCATACATAATTGATGTAAATTTATTGTTTGTAGTAATAATCTCAATGTAATAGTTAAATCTTGATTTAATGGGCAAACTCTCAATTAGACATGCCTATGGAGATTCTCAGTCATCCAGGTCATGGTTATTCCAAAGGTGCTTTTTTAAGGAAGCAACTTGACTTTCTTGTTTTTCTTGGATAAGAAGCAAAATATTTTCAAAGAAAAACAAGAAAGTCCAGTTGCCTCTTGAAAAAAGCACCTTTGGGATGATCTTAGTTGGACAGATCTTACTCCATTTAATGATAGAATCAGAGTGAAAAATGTGTATCTGAATCCAATAATCAAGATCCAATAAATCAAGATTCTATTCTATTCTATAAGAATAGAATAGAATAGAATAGAATAGAATAGAATAGAATAGAATAGAATGGAATGGAATGGAATGGAATGGAATGGAATGGAATGGAATGGAATGGAAT